CAGGAATGAATGTAGAAGAGAGCAAAAGCAGAGAGCTCGGAGCTCTCAGATGTGTATATCTCAAGATCAAAGAGCTAATCATAATGAATTAATTCCTTTTTCATGAGCACTAGCTCTTCATTTTGCCACAGTTCAAGAACATAATCACGTTCAGGAAGTCTGAGTACTTAAGACCCAATTTATGTCTCGGGTAGGCAGGTGATAGCAAGGCTGCAGGCAAGGCATTGCTGTGATGACAGCTCAGTGTCGCTGCGTGAGAGATGGCACAGCTGCACTGTCCCCTCCCGACAGCGCTCACCTGCCCGCGCTGCCAGTGTCTTCTGCTGTCCCCCACCGTGTGCTTGAGTGTTTGTCAAGGAGGGTGTATTCATGGGATAATGTATTTTAAAGAAGCTTAAGAGATGTGTTTATGTGGCCATTAGGACCAGAAGAGTAGAGAGTAGGTTTGAAAGGAGGACAAAAGCTTTGCAAGGGAAGCAGTTGGTCACAGAGGACAGATTTGGGCAAGAATGAAAGGAAGGGTAAATATCATAAGAAGAAGCAGGGCAGTGCAGGAAGACAAAGCTCTATTTGATGTAATCTGGGTTGCTGACCTCCTGAGATGCTGCCTCTCTAACTTTCTGCCCACTACGCTGTGGCAGTTCTTCTGTCACTGTACAGGGGTGTGTATTGTTATCCCACGCAGCTGGCAGTGGAAACCCCATTGCTTTAGTTCTGCAGCAGAACTGCGACATTTCCATCTGTTTAGAAGGGATAACTGGTGGAAAGGGTGCTGAGATAGCCCAGAAGGGAAAGCGGAGCAGTCCCAAATGCTGCGGTGAGTCCTTGTGAGAGATTGGTGTCTGCTTTGGTGACTGTTGAAGTTCACAGAAAATATATGCTTCGCAGTGGAGTGCTGCACTGGGACTGCAGCCATGACCCAAACTGGAGGCGTGTGCGCCTAGGCGATGAGGCAATCCTGACTGCCCTGCGCCGTGCAGGAAGGTGCCTGCACTGGCTCATGCATTAGACTGGGACTGGAGTTCCTGCATCTGACCAGTAAATCAAAGCCTATCACAACTTGATTCAAAGCACTCCTAAATAAACGTGCCTTTCAGCTGATGTCAGTAGGATTTCTAGTCTCTTTCCCATTCCTCGGCATCTTTCCATCCCCAGAGAATATAGTCAAGCACAGGAGACTGTAACGATCCGGGCTTGGAGATTACGCAGCATCAGGCACAGCCTTGAGGAGTCATGTTTGCTGACATTAAGTTGACTACAGCTTTATGGTCATTTTACGCACGACAGCATGTCAGCTGTGTGAACCTCGCTGGAACAGGAGATTGCCTATGACTAGCTGCTGTGGAATTGAAATGATTTGTCTCTGTGTCTACATGGACTGAAAATTGTGGCTATTGTTTCCCAGTCATTGCACTTCCTCAGGCTTGTTTCCTAATTCAGTGTAATTTTGTAGCGGAGACAAGGTGTTAAGGGGGTTCATGATGTGGGTGTGTGCCAGACCCCCACTTCATCAGTGCCTCCCATCATATTTAATGGGCTTCACCTTGAAAGCACCAAATCATCTTGTATTTTCCTAACTTCAGTAGAATTTATTCCAAGGGAAATCTGTGCCATTGCAGAGAGAAGTATTACTCAAGGTTGCTCACTCAGGGTAACAGAAGTGAGCTCTAACTGACATGATTTCTGGCAACTAAGGTACCATTTAGCATAACTGGTGTAGAGTTTGAGCCCACGGATTCCTGTGCTTTTGGTGTAACTCTATAGATAATGATGGATGTGCTAGTCTGCACCTTGAAACAGAGCAATTTTGTAAATAATGATTACTCCGGTTCTCATTTTTCAGACTTATCAGTTATATAGAGCTTGTGGTGTAGTTAAACAACAGGACAATACTTTGAGTATGGCTTTTGAACATAATACTGTTCAGCTATATTTTGCTTTAAATTAGCATACAAAAATGGAAAATGTTTTGACCTGTATTTTTTGACCAAAAGCTACAGAATTCCTCTGTGTTCCATGACCTGACCACTCCACATGTCACAAAGAAAGCTGAAATTCTTTAAGTGTTTGTGATATTCTATTTCACGTGATTTGAAGTACGATAAAGATTGGGATAAACAGGCTTGATGTAACACCACATCCTAGTACAGAATATTTTCTAAGAGAAAAGGAATAAAGACTCCCACTGAAAAGCTGCTGCTGTCAAATAATCATTTATTCTGCTGTTGTTGACTTGCCCCCATCTCAATGACAAGGGCTTAGCTACCAACAGGAAACAATGTTCCAACAAATGCTTGTGACACCCTGTGTAATTCTTGTCACAACGAAAGCCCATGTGGAACTGTGTGCTTTTGGCTTTAGCGTTCTCATTTTTCTCACGCATGCAGAAGCAATAAAAGAGGAAATATTTATGCTTATCAAGAAAGAAGGCTACTTTTTACAAACATCCTTCCCCAGCACTTCAGTGAATCTTAAACTGCATTTCTGAAGTTTGGGTGAACTTCAGGGTTGATGTCGCATATTGTACTCAAAATATTTTTCATCATGCTCTCCATGTTCTTGTGGTAGCTGCTAGTGATGTTTCGGATGGTTTCTGTTGTTTGCTCTTCTATTTTAGCAGAGAGGTTACCGTGGGAGCCCATTACCTGAAAAGCAGAAATCCTCTGAGCAAAATAAAGGGTTAAATATGACTGTTTATTGTACTTTTCTTCATCATCTTGCATAAACATAACACAAACACGTGGCAGTGCTTCCTAACAGTAAGGGTATGGTCTAGGTTGAACTGTACGGATAAAAACAGGATTAAAGGGAACTCTTTCATATGCTCATTAACAATAGGAATCTCCCCACATAATGAAAGTTTCCCAGCTCACTGTTGGAACAACTTTATATATGTTTGGTCTTTTATATCGCTCATTTTAATTTGTTTTCTATTTTAATGACTAGTCAACTAAGTTCTATCACCAGTGTGCTTCATTTGGCCTTGCGGAGAATGAATATGAGTGCAGCTAAGGAGCAAAACATGGGGGAGCCTTCCTGACAAGGCACAATTACAGTTTCAGAGTACTTGAAATGTCTTCAGCAGTTAGTGATATATAACCCTCAACAGGCCTCAGACAAGGTCTTTTAATGTTACATTTTCTTATCTGGCGAAATACCAGACAGCTTCTGGCACAGTTAATATCAGGACATTCGCTTAGAATTTAATTGACTCTAGACTCGCTGAACATTTTAGCAAGGTTATGTTATAAACAGATGCATGCGTTCCAAATATGTGACTTTGTTCCCTCCTCCCCCACTGCCCCAACATCCCTTAAATTCTTCCCTTATGGAAAAGTCCTTCAGATACTGGAAGTTGGTTTCCAGCTAAACAGCTCCACAGGGGAGAGCAGAAGACATTTCTGCACGCTGACAGAGTAAGAAAGGAACAAGTAACATATTCATCTCGTTCCTGCCATGGTTTGTCTGGAGCAGACTAGCAGCTGAAGCTAACCTGTGGTGTTAGTGGGATGCCCAGAGGATGACCACAAACAAGGGAGGAGTCATTAGATTTATTTTCCATGTGATTTTAGCCCAGCTTAGTCCTTAAAAGAAGGAAAAGCAGCGGAGTTAAGGTCCTTTGCACAGATCACCTTTGCCATTCTACTTATCAGTACCTGGCAACATAGTAACAAGTTTGTCTGTAGTCCAGATGTAAAACACTTTCTGATTTGGATGAAATACAGCACGTAGACATAACTGTAAATATCAGGAAAAGATTATAGTTTTCTATAGTAACTATTTTTGGCTGGCATTTAATTTTAGCGTTTAGACAAGTTGTAAGGGTCATATGGGAAAGATCGTACAGCTTAGACCAGATTTATGAAGTGGATTTTTTCCACTGGGGAAAATAACTTTCTAGAGATCCCAGATGGTTGTATGTTATCCAGCTACTATATGGTTTTGAAAAACCTCAAGAAAAGTATTATAATTTTAAGAAGAGCCTCTGTAGACCGGGAACCTGCTTTCTCAGTTCATGCTAATACTGTAACTTGAGATAGTTGATTCTCACTCTCCTACATTTTGTTTTTCCTGCTTCTGAACTTGAAGACCTTTTTCTTGTCAGAATTGCAGACAATGCTTAGCTTAGTCTATGATTTCTGCTGACCTTGAAAGTCTGTCCCTTATTTTGCCTATACTGGTTTTATGCTAGTGTCATTCTAAAGTCACTAAACCATTGCATCAACTTGGAAGCCACAAAATTCAGAACTAGGCTTCAGATCTCCAGAGTCTGGTGATCTCAGACCCTGAGTGCAAACACCAGGAGCACTAGTAGAATTGGTTTGAGATCCAAGCTTTTTTTTTTTTTGTGTTTTGAAGAAAGTACCTTGCATATTGTCACTCTAACCTCAAATGAATCATTGTTTTGCATTGCTGCTGTTGTTCGTTCTGGACTGATGTGGAACATCTCATAGTAAGAGAAAATTTACCCCACTTTGGATACAGCAGCACAAAGTAAGAGGAGGAATAGCGTTACATGAGATTGTGACAAAGAATTAAAAATACTTGGGTCCAAATACCATGAGCCAGTGAACTGAACTGGGCATCAGACCTCGCTCTGCACTGCCTTAGCTGGATCTCCTGACTGCCTTCCAGGCACAGGTTAACAATGGTGACGTTTGTCTGGGTAGATAAATGTTCGACATAATGGGGTCAGGGAATGTGAATGAGGACTGCAATGATCTTGTACAACATGCTGTCATTTGAGAGGCAATATGTGCTCTGTCCTGCTTGTGTGAAACTTTCAGTTGACAAACAGCAGCCTTTCCCTGCAGCTTTAATTTTGTTTGTGATGAAGAAATCGAGTTCACATGAAAGCCACATCTTTTCTCTACTGCTATTTTCGACCTAAAACAAGAAGTCTGGCTTGACTGAAAAGATGAACAAATTTTAGAGGTGTTTTTATTTTATTATAGTGTCAGTAAATATTTGAAATTGTACATACGAGACAATTCCACCTGGCCTGGCTGTGTGACAGTGTGTCTGGGGACTGGCGGTGTATGTTAGAGACTTTGTGTGTATATCTGTTCCTAAGGCTTGTGATCTCTGCTGGAAAATGTTTTATGTGAAGTGTGACTGAAATTACAGGTTTGTAAAGCAGTTTTTATTTGACTTCTTTGGCTAGTTTTGTGGCTGCTTTTGTGGCACATGTAGTTTCCCTGCCTTTGCACAAAACAAGCTGGGGAAAAAACAAGAACAAAAACGATAAGAGGAAGGTCACCAAGTAAAGAGAGAATGGTTTGCGAACCTTCATGAAAGTGCTAGAGAAAGCTGGAAGATGGCATAAATTTGTAATATGTACTATAATTCAAATATGAAAATATCAGCCAGACCACTCTACTATGAAAATGTAGTGAAAAACTCCAAAGTTTTGGTGATTTCAGTTCATCAAAGATGTGGTCTTGTATGCAGTCAAAGAAGTCAGCTAATGTGGAACAGGAATAGAAAGAAAGATTCAAAAATCTTTGGTTTTACTGGAACATCCACCTTACTGAAACCTTCAGCTTCAAGACAGGAATAAGATCTGTCTGGAGTTAAACAAAGAGGACCCAAAAGTATTTTTCCTTAAGGGAGGTAAGTCTTCAAAGGACAAGCATGAACCAAATGCAGAATCTGGACAATTTTAGAGGTGAAAGTCCACAATACCTTCTAGAAATGCATTCAAAGCCTGTGAAGAAGTCAAAATGCAGCATGTACCCATCATAGGTGATATCTCTTTGTTTAGTCAGGATGATCATGTTGATTTGCAGAAGTCTCCATATAACACTGTTTGAAGCAATTTGTTTTACCATTGAGGACATTGACACTACAAAGGAACATGTGCAGGTTTCTTACTCACGTTTGTTTGCTTGTTCCTGAATTCCTTCTCCAGCCATTTACTTCACCCTTCCCACTGTATCCCAAAAGATGAATCTCTGTGAATCGGAGGTATTTTGCGTAGCATAGTAAAACAGACAAAGCTTCGAGCAAAGTTAACAGCAGCTTTATTTGCATAAGAATGGTCAGAAGAGCCAAAGTGAGCTAGGTATGGTACTTTTTGATTGAAAGCCAGTCACACAAGTACCCATACTCTGAGATCAACTCACTGTGTGGAGCACACATCAAATGAAAAGCTTGTTGGTTTGCTAACTACTTTTTCTTTTTAGTCACAGCTTGGTGTTTAAATAAATATCTGTCTTTCCTTCATCAGCAATAGTAGCAGCCAGATAACAGATTTTAGCTGTCATTGATGGGAAAAGACGTTATTCTGTAAGGTTTGCTGTATTGACTGGTTGCCAGCATCCCTTCGGCCCACACCAACTGGATTCTGCTTAGAGATGGCAGATTTCCAAAGCACTGCAAGATACATCTTAACCACTTACCAAACTGGGTTGCAACCTTCAGGCTTTGTCCTCTTCTCCTCCACCCTTTTCCCCTAGCATTTGTTAGATGCAGAGGTGAGTGATTAAAAGGAGGTCAATATTATTCTCTACCCATGCATTGAAAATATGAAAGTTGATTAAAAGGCTTTTTTTTCCCTCTTCTTTTTCAACAGGAAGATGATCTGTAGGGTAGCATTTTAGGGTGTACTGTAAACACTCCTGAACCGACTTGTTTACATACTTAATTTTGTTCATTTTGAATAGTTACTTTGTCTTAGGTAAAATCCTACAGGTTTGTCAAATCAAGGCCACGTAAGTCATTGCAGGATCGGGCATAAACTGGTTCCTGGGTCTAGCAGGGATGTTGTGTAAAGGATAGGAATAGAAGGTGGGATGGGAACGTAATGCATAAGTTTTCACATGAAGCAAGTGTTGAACATGTCATAACCACCCCATGGTGATGCATCTCTGTCTGCTGGTTTTGTGTAAAGTTGCAGGGATCTCTAGAGGACTCTGCTACACTACTTTGTAAGGAAAAAGTCTCTGTCTATAACTGATAGGGCTGTAAACCACTTTGTGAGGAAAAAGTCCCTTTCTATAACTGATGGGGCTGTAAACCTCTTGTAATGAAAGTTTATATGTTACATCTGAGACATGGGGGCTGATGCTGATTTCTGGGGTCTCTTTCTGCTGTACAGCTAGAATTTTAGGAGTTGGAAAGGACAAGTGTTCTCCCTTTTCTTAATGGCAGAAATGTCTTCGGTGGCTGAAAAAGCTATTGCTTGGTTGCTTAAATTAGGGTATCACAAGAATGAGAGGGTAGAGGCTAGGCAGCTGAAAAGGCATCTTCAGCTGATCTTTTTATCTTTTTTCTTTTTTTTTAAATCTTTCAGTTCAAGTACAAAAGTTGAAAAGAGTACCTTTTCCAGAATCCTAAGGAACATTCTCCAACTGGGCCAGAAAGACGAGCATTAGTATTTCTTATTTATTTTCTCCATGATGCTGCACTGGATTGGCTACACTTGTGCTGGGCTGCGGAAGCCTTATCAGGTGTGGCACATAACAATGTGCCTCCACTGAGCATGGTACAGTGAGGAAGCTGAATCTCGGGAGGAAGACTGTTGCTTTTGATACATCTGAGATTCAACAAAAGCCTGGGTAAAATGCTTGATCCAGCGGTAAATTGTTTGCCCACTTGATGGCTCCTTCTGAAGTAATTATCTGCAAATTAGTAAGTAGAAGCAGAGAGATGCCTGAAATATGAATTTCTGTTTAAAGAGTTGAGTCCTGGACTGTTTGATTCTGTGGGTGTGCTTATTGTGGGACCTGGGGTGCATGATTGTATACAGGCTTTTTACAGGAAGGAGCAACCTGGTGAGGAACTAGCTGACTTTACTGACTCTCAGTTCATCAGCATAGTGCTCTCTTGTGTAATTAATTATATTTCTCAGAGTCCTTCTGCCACTGTAGCACTGTGCTCATGTATAAAGGGGCAGGAAGGCAGTTTGAAACCTAGCGTTTACTTTCCCAGAGTTTGTGTTTGTTTGATAAGGGCTCATTCCCTCAGCTTCTGCCACTTGCTATATGAAGTTTTGGGACCAGTATGTGTGAAGTGACAGATTTGCATAAGGCCTGACATCAGTCTGGACAACAAAATTTGGAACCAGATTTAGGTCTGTATTTTGAAGTTTCCCTTATTCTTTTCTCCAAATTTGGAGCTGAGCAGCTTTTTAGAGAGTTTTTCTCTAGGAGCAGAGCTTGTGGGGTGATTCTCTGGAGCTGCAAGTTGAGGGGAGTGACTATGATGAAGCTCTGCCAATTTCACCAGCTGAGGAACAGGGTCTCTATAGCAAATTAAATGATTTCAAAATCAGTGGGATTTTAATTTCAAATTCCATCTGGGGGGCCATCTGTAGTAAATATGTTGCATATTTAGCCACCAGATAGATAAACAGATCCATTTAATATGCACAAAATGGAAAGAGATTAACTGTAAAACAACAGTTCATTTGCCTTTGATGATATAGCTAGTGAACCAAAAAGTATATCTATACATACATGTCACCTCTTGACAGTGCACTGGAGTAAGCACAATACATACGGTGTCACTGTAGGGTGGCAACCATTTCATTTTTCCATGATGCCTTTAGGATTGGCACAGCAGGAACCTGCTGCTTCCTATTTAATTAAGTGGAAAAGCTGTGAGTAAATTACTGCTAGTTCAACAACGCTGTGGACAGAATCAGCAACTGCCAACATATGCGATAGTGCATATGCTGCACCTGATTAATTTAAGCAGAAACTAGAGCTTAACCTGCTGTTTCACTAGAGACAAACCAAAATTAATTAATCAGTCTGTTATTAACCACTTGTCTGCTACCTTAGTTGTGCAATATGGGATTGCCTTTTTAAAGTCTTACTGGATGGGTTTCTCTGCAGAGCACAGCCGAGCTGAAATCAAACCTTACACAGTGAAGGGCATCAGAGCATTGAAATTCAGCCAAGATCATGCCAAAAGATGGCAAGAGATACAGGAGGACTGGCAAACCAACCTGCCCCTACGACATTTCCTCTAGGATCATAAAGGTGAGGTACAGAAATCTCTAAGTTTGAAGAGACTTCTGCCCCAAAGGGCGTGCTGTGGGGACCAGGTTTGCTGCTACCCCTTTGTCCCTCCTTCCCGTCCTTAAAGACAGGGAGCGGCAAAGTAGCTGTGCTGTGCCTGGTTTCCTTGTCCACTGTTGTCCATGACCACAGTAGCTGACAGCCTATCAATTTCTAGGCATCGTGTTAAATTGGACAAATCTTAACCAACTTTCTGTGACAAGTCAGCCTTGTATTAGATTTTCTTACCTAACCTGGGACTGCATTTTTAGCATGGAGAAAGGCTTTATTCTTCTTTCTAGGTATTTCTATGGTGTTAATGAAATACCTAGCTCTGGATACATCCAAAAGAACCGGTGAGGATTTATAGGTTGTTCGAGTTTTTTAGATCTTGTAAGAAACGGATAGTAGAAAGCAAAAATGTTGCATTCTAATTTGCTCAAACACTAAGTTATCTTATTTTCCAAAAACCACCATGCTAAAATTGGCTTTCTGTTTTCAAACACATCATCTAGGCTTCTAGCTGAATTTCTGCATAGAAATCATGTCATACAAAGAACTTGCCAAAAATTAATCATGTTTTCTTTAAATAGGACCATTTCGATTGTCTTGAAGAGTGTTAAATTGTCTGTAAAATGGGATTTAGGATGCTTATTTTGAGAAGACTGTTTTGCACTTTTAATAAAATACAATAGAAGCAGCTGATCAGTATGCATAGCTTTTTCAGTAGATAAAATATGTCCTGGATATTATCCAAGAAAGCACAATGGATAGAATTCAGTTTACAATATCTTATTTTGATTAACATTTGTTTTTAATCTGATTTCCTGAAATTTTTCATCTGAGTTTTCATTTTGTTAGGCACTAGAAATGCAAGCCAAGATATAATAACCTATAGGAAAACAAGTATTGCTAAACCCAGTGTTCATGACACATTTGTTTCCCTTGTTTTACCCAAAAAGATTCAGGATTTGATGTCTTGGCTCTGACAATGGTCAGTTATTTCTGGGATCCAAATTATGCTTAAAGCAAAAATGATACATAAAGCAGTGCTGTGTATAAAAGGCCAAAGGATTGCAGGCTCATTTGGTTTGTGTTTAATCAATTTAATAGTTTCAGTGTTGTTTGTGTGCATTTACGACAAACTGTTAATAATTTGTCAGGTATAAATGACATCAGCTAATGATACAGTAAGGATATTGTAAGCCCGGATAAAGGGTATTGACCAAGAAGTATGAAAAAGCATGTGCAGAGGAGCTTTAGCACTATATTTTTGCGTTGCTTCATGCCTATAAATATAGGTTTATTTAATTGCTGATTTTTCAGTTATCTGAAGTGGATTTTGCATTGCAAACAGCTGCACATATGCCAGCAAAAGCTAGGCCCATTATCTGTTTATATACAATATTATGTGTGTTCACATTACATTTTGATCTGGTTATGCGAGTATCACTGTAAACACTCAAGGGTTTGCACAGGGGTAGTTTCGCTAATCACATTTCCTTGAAAATGGCTATTCCTGGTTGTGTCCCATGAAGGAGGTCTGCCTTTCGTTCTGCTCAGGTTACAGTGTAAATAGAGTAGTCGGACACATTTGTATAGTGGTGCTGCGTGGTGGCTGTCTGTGGCGATGGAGGAGGTCATAGGTACAGTTTAGCAGGGAAGGGACTGCATTAGCACTCGCTGGACGGGTTCTTTGCTTTCACTTGCAGCCGCGATCCGCAGAGTGCCAGGCCCCGAGCAGATGCTGCTGATCTGAACTGGTACCAGGTGGATCTGGGCTGGTGTTTCCTGGGGTGAAGTAGAATGTCCTTGCCTTGTTTCTCCACACTGTGTGTGCACAGGTTCACTGATTACACTGGATATATTGGTTGCGTGTTGTGTAGTTCCTTTTACCTTTGTTTTTATGCTCAGAGATAAACTATGTAGTCCTTTATGCTGCTCTAACTGCAGAGTCACTCGGGAAGGGACTGTTTGAGACGTTCTGACTTGGAATAAATGGATTTGGCACAAAAAGAATCCCTTTTGTCCTTGTCCCACAGTGTTAAAGTTATGCTGGTATAGTTGGGTATCTAAGGTGGTGTAGTGGCATTGCTGTGAAAAATACTGAAATTAAGGCCAACATGGAAACTTTTAAATTTTTGTTTTGTACCTTCACTGCAAATGTAATATTGAATATAATAATGACTTTCTAGGTATAATTATTCTGTTAGATTAGCTGTAATGCTTGGTTTAGCACAAAATCAAGGGTGGAGTAGTCCTTACAAAAACCTGAATCAGAAACATTAAGGCCTGACCTTGCTCATGTGATCCATGAGATTTAAAATTCACAAGCGCTTTGCAGTTCGCACCCTAGTACAATCTGTTGGCAGTATTTAACATGAACAAAAAGATCCGCCAAAGTCTGTAGGCTATGGATGAATATGCCATGTAAGCAGTTATTTGATCTTTCCCTTGATCGGCTATACCTAGGAATAAAATCTCTTGGAAATGCCCGAAGTTTTTCACGAGATTGCATAGAGCTGCTGACGCTGGAAGGGGCCACCGGGGTCTTCTCCAACCCCCTGCTCAGAGCAGTCTTGGCAAGGGCAGCTTGATCGGGGCCAGATCCAGTGGGTTTTGAATGTCTCAGCAGAGACTCCAAGGCCTCTCTGGGCAGCCTGTTCCTGGGTTTGACCTCCCTCGCAGCCGTGGAGTTATTTTGTTACGTTTAAATGTATGCTATTGTCTCCTGCCCTTTCAGTGGATACCCCTGGAAAGAGTTTGGCTCTGTCTTCTTTAGCCCCCTCCAACCTTCTACTGTATGAGCTTCAACAAGGCCAAGTGCCAGGTCCTGCACTTGGGTCACAAGAACCCCATGCAGGCTTGCGGAGGTGTGGCTGGAAAGCTGCCTGATGGAAAAGGACCTGCGGGGTGTGGTCGATATCCAGCTGAACATGAGCCATCAGTGTGCCCAGGTGGCCAAGAAGGCCAGCAGCATCCTGGCTTTTATCAGGAATAGTGTGGCCATCAGGAGTAGGGAGGGCATCGTCCCCCTGTACTTGGCACTGGTGAGGCTGCACCTCGAATACTGTGTTCAGTTCTGGGCCCCTCACTACAAGAAGGACATTGAGGGGCTGAAGTGTGTCCAGAGAAGGGCAACGAGGCTGGTGAGGGGTCTGGAGAACAAGTCTGATGAGGAGCAGCTGAGGGAGCTTGGACTGTTCAGTCTGGAGAAGAGGAGGCTGAGGGGGGACCTTATCACTCTCTACAACTACCTGAAAGGAGGTTGTAGTGAGGCAGGTGTTGGTCTCTTCTCCCAGGTGGCTAGCAATAGGATGAGAAGCAATGGCCTGAAGTTGCATCAGGGGAGGTTTAGATTGGATATTACGAAAAATTTCTTTACTGAAGGAGTGGACAGGCATTAGAACAGGCTGCCCAGGGAGGTGGTTGAATCACCACCCCTGGAGGTGTTTAAAAAACTTGTAGATGTGGCACTTCGGGATGTGGTTTAACAGGCATGGTGGTGTTGGGTTGATGGTTGGACTTGATGATCTTAGAGGTCTTCTCCAACCTATGATTCTATGATTCATTTTTTTCTTTCTTTTATTTTTATATATGAGAGAGTTTAATTTTCCTTCATAATTTTTATAGAGGCAAAAAAATGTTTGGCTTTAAAAGTAGTATAGAAGAAAGTCTGATTAAATATTTTTACTCTAAATATTTTTACTGATAGCGGAATTCTTAACAGCTGTTTTTCTGTAGCTGCTGAATAACTCCTACCTGAACACGACTACACTAGTAGGTGTAGACAGTGGTTTAAGTCAAGTTTCTGACTCAGAGGTGTCTGGAAGATACTTTATCTGTAAGAAGCCCTGTACTTACTACAAGCACTCTGTGTGGGGCTGAGGTAATGACAGGGGAGTGTGGTTTTTGCAGCGTAGAGTAAAAGCACCTGTAACCATGTCTGGATTCTGCAAGACACTCGTCTTCAGTTTTTACTTTTATATTATAATGATACTTTTCATTTTTTGAGTTTCTTAATTTATGAAACATCTTTTTAACTGGCTGTTTAGAAAAAAAATCCCTCACTATTCTGTTTTTTAAAACTAAAGCAAACCAAACAAAAACACAAAATCAAAACCAAAAGTAAAGGCTAATCAACATCAAGCTATCATAGCTGGAGGCCCGATTCTGCAGCTTGTGTTCAGACCAAACCCTGACTCCCTCCACTGTGGGCTGTGCCTTTCCAGGTTATACGCTTTCTTGCGCTGGGGAACAGAGCATTTCCTCTGCCCTATGTGAGGAGGGAAGAACCATATCCGTGAGAGCACCTCCTTTGGCTATGTAAGGTCAAATCACTTCATTATTCCTTGCTTTCAGGCTGGGAGCTGCAACCACAAACAACTTTTATGAAGATGGGAGATTCCCGCTCCCCCTCCATTGCTTTTGCAAGGCACAGGCAGTGGCTGGGTGCTCAGGGAAGGGGTATTGCCTTCCTACTTGCTTTCTGTGTGCTGTTTTACAAATTAACATATCGCACGGACAATTAATGAACACACAGCGATGCTGATTTCTGTGTAGAAGGAATATAGGAACTACACCAATTATTTTTGTTTAGCTTCTATTTTTCCATGGAAAACAAAATATATTCCTTCATCACACTCTTGCAGCACATGACATCATCTTCATGCATTGTAGTTGAGTCCTGCAGGACAATTTCCTGCTGCTGGTTTCTAAATCAAGATAACTCCGTGAAACAGTATCAATGTTTCACTGCTAATGAAGGTCAGTGACTCATGTGTTGGTACCAATGTTCAGGAGAATAAGGTCATCCTATTTTGCATTAAATCACTAGGAGATGAATGCAGAAGATGAAGGAAATGGATAATGGAAAGACTGCCAGGAGAATTATTTCTTTGATTGAAATAATTCTATCAGATACCTTCATTTTTATATTTGTTGTTCTTACTTTTTTGCTTATATTTGACTAGAATCAAAATATATGAATTTATTATTATTGGCTATCTACACATGACTTCCCCTGGGCATTTTGACATTTAGCAAACAAGATGTTGATTTTAAATTGAACGTTTAATCACTTGCTGATTGCTTTTACCACGTAGTAAGACTTACAGGAATGATCTGTCACAGTACTGACAGTTCTTTGGGTTGTACCATGACTGCCATTGCAATCCTTGTGCTGGTCTCCCTTTTTTTTTCATATAATTTTTTTTAAGCCTTGCTGAGATTAGAAGGCAAGGTCCTAGATTTCATAAGTAAAGAGGAACACTGAAAAATTTATGCAAGCCCTATAAAGAGAAGTAGAGCTGGTAGCCAGAGGTGTGTAGGCTTCTAGTCTGAATACCTAAGGAAGGCTGTAATGACTTTATTGGCATTGAGATAAAGCAAGAATAAATCTAGCTGACAGGTTGACTATAACAAAGAAAACCTTGTTTGATCTAATAAGTCATGTGCATGTGTGCACACAGGTGTACACAGAATTTTAAGCAAACTCTGAAAGTTCAGGTTTGGTAAAATGCCTGGCTGCAGTCAAGGCACAGCGCTAATGCAAGTGTGAAGAAAGAATAGGAGCAGCACAGCTGTGATGTATACAGATGAGAAAGCATTGTTCTTCTGTGAGCCACTGTAATTCTGAAGAGCTTACAGTAGAAAACTACAGTAAAACCAGGCCAGCTACTCACTTTTTTTGGCTTCCTCCAGTTTGTCCTTGGCACGTTTTTCTGCCTGCAGAAGCTGCTGGATTCCTTGAGACTGGCTGGTCATGCTGATTGCTGAGGCCGGTGTACTTCTGCAGGGACCAGAGCTCGGAGGGAGTTTTTAAACAGCTGCCAGGCTCTTCCTTGTGCTTTTTGTTCTGTCTGTTATTGCAACAGCCTTCCAGATTGTGCCAAACCAGCTGGCTCTGCCTGGATTGCTGCTGGGCAAAAAGGTCTGCTCGTGTAATCAGAAAAACACAGCAGTGAGTTTGAAAGGAATGTTCTTCCTTCTTCAGGGCCACTGAAAATCTGGTGTCTGATTGACACACTGGGAAGAGAAGAGAGGAGTACTCCAAGTGGTGTGTAGCTTAATGGGTTATGGTTTTTTTTTTAATATTTCATTACAGAGGCAGAATGTAGTTAATTTTGTCAGAAGAACTGCAGAAATTTTTTTTTTTGCTTGAAATTTCCTTTCAATAAAACTTCCTGTGAATGCGAAGAATTGGACTCAGTCAACAAGTAGTTGTGATTGAATACAGTGAACTGGTTGTAGGCTTCTGTTTGGAGTCACTTCTTAACGTTATTCATTAGAGTTTTTTCACTTAAAAAAAAAATCTTCACTGGAAATGAATTCATTGAGGACTGAAGTTTAAAAAAAGCATGTGGTGGTTGAGGTGTGCTCTGTATTTTAATCTGCCATGAGAGTGATGAGTGCTGTGGTGGGAAGCTGAGGAATTAGCTCTAAGATACAGATTCTGGGAAGGTATGACTGGTGATCTGGGTCTTGATTTCAAGTCCTACTAACACACACGACAGTCAAATGAACGTGTGAGCATGGCTGCAGATGCACATCTTGTTCCCTATGATAGGAAAGTGTCTTGTGAGCTGCAGCACACTCATATTTTGGATCCTTACAAAAAACAAATCCTACTGTCAAAGGTACGTCAGCCATTACACAGGAGGGGGGACATATTGAGATGCATAATTAAAATAGATTTTTCTTTTTTTAAATACTTCATACCATGAGTAAAGTGTATTTATTGTAAGTTTTTCTGACACAGTTGTGTCAGGACCAGAGACCAGTTTCTGATGTAAAGGACTTTTTCTAGCTGCAGTTATATATATGTAAATAAATTTCTATGTAAAAGTGTGTATATATATTATTTCTGCATGTATATTATAAAATACGTATATATAAAAACTATTTGGTGCTCTCTGCTAATGGCCCTTGCTGTAGGGCCCTTTGTTTTTCTGGGGCTTCCTGGGGCAGCTGTGCCATGCTGCTTGCTTGCTGCAAGGCTGTTAGATGGTCCTGATGAGGATATGTGTACCCTTGTTATGAAGTTCCCCCCCAAATAGCTGCAGGCTTGAGGGAAAAGCCTCTTGCCCTATTACTGTCTTCAGCTGTGCTCTGACTGACAGTAGCACTGAGACTTTGCAAAGGAAGTTGTTTTGTTTTCTGGCTTGTGATACCGTGGAGTCAAATTCCACCCAGGCTCCCTCTCAGGGAAAATGCCCATTTCTTACAGTGTACTGGGCACCGAGTTTCTTCCTTCATCCAGAAACTGTGCGAGATGCCTCCTCACCTCTAGCGCTGAAATCGAAGGTCTAATCTAGCTGCAAGAGAGCAGACATGGCACGATATATGGAAGATTTTAATGCATAGCCTTGAACTTTGTTTTATTCAGACAGAGAAGAGGGAGTGATGATCAACTGCACAGAAAGTATAGAAACTGTAGGGTTAGCAAGCGTTTTATGCCACTGGGGCTCAGCTCCAAATGATCTGACTGGCAAAGAAAAGCAAAAGTGGTAAATGAAAGTATAAAAATGAAGAGATATGGTTTACTTTGGGCAGGAAACTTGGGCTCAGACCTTTAAAGCAGTAGTTACTTAAAAATTAAATAGGAAGTGGAAATGTCAGGCTTGTCTCAGACATCAGAAGTATGTTCCTGGCAAAGGGTTTGTCAAGCAAATCTCATTGCAAAAAGAAATGTTACAAAACTGCTAGCAAACTAGACTGTTTCAGAGTTTCTGGACTTGGCTGAAAGCATCAGAAGTCAGACCCTGTGATTTCTCTGAACAGTTCTCAATGCTGTAATTATGTTACGTGGGCCTCAGTAATGATCTAAATTTTGATATTTACAGTCTGTTAATTTTAATTAAGATTTCACAGATAATAGTTTTATATGATTTTTTTATGGAAAAAAAATCCACCCTTGAACAGGTTACAAAGCTCTTCTATTGTTAACAAACTCATATATTTCTTAAGCGGATCGTTTGAGCTGCAGATGTCACAGTTCACATATTACAATGTTTTTCTGAATCAAAGAAAATCTCAGTTTATAATTTTTGTTGTAGTTAGTTCATATGCAGTGTAGTGGCATGCTGTGCTGGTATTCCTCACAGCATCAGGCAGGTACTGGTACCAGCCTCTGCAGGGGAGGTGGTGATCATTTATTTTGGCTGGTTCTTATACACATCTTGTTAGACTCCACACAAAGCAGTGCCACTTACAGCTAGTTTCAAAGCTTGTCTGATGATGACAGTGATGATCTCAGACTACTTTGACATGGCACCTCTGTGTATCCCACTTCATGGATAATTCATTAAAATAAAGTAGGTTAAGCCACCAACTGACCAAACAGGCTCCTACTTCATCACACAAGCTAATAAGAAACTTCTCTGTGTCGTAGTTGCTGGCTTTCTTTCCAAGTCAGCTCCAGGCTCATTTAATTAGAGAAGAGAAGCCGATGTGGTGACTGGTGATGGGGGAGGAGGAGAGGTGTTACCAGAGGGAGAGAGGGCAGAGAGAAGTTCGGGTTTTTTTTAGACTCCTCCCCTTTCTCAGCATTTTGTCCAGCTGTCTCAGTCCCCAGAATTTCCCAAGCCTTTTCTGGTTATCCCAACTGGCAGTTTTGGCATTCTTGCTCCCCCAAAGCAAAGTCATGGAGCAAGGAGATGAAGCGTCTTACAAGGAATGAGAGACCCTGCTGAGCTCCCCCTGCTCATCCACACCTTAACCAGCGGAAACGCTCTAAATCGGGCATTTCTGCTTTAGACAGAGGCTGTGCAGCTGCTGTCTTCTCTCTGCAGTGGGAAGGTCAGGGCCAGTTGGTAAATTCACCCTAGATAGTTCAGATAATTTTATTTGGAAAAACTCTGCTTGCTGTTACTCAGATTGAGCCTTACCTAGCATGAATAGAACAACTTCTCGGTCTATCTACCGCTGAGCAGTAAAGGCAGCGCTGTGGCATCCTTTTATTGTGGTTTAAGTGTGCACAGGCTCTCCTGTATGTAGGAGGGTAGCAGACAGGGTTTCCACTGTAATATGTTTAAGCTGAAGGTCTCCCATGCATTGCTTCTGTGGCTGTATTTCCCAAAGCAAGCACATTTTTTTAATCACTTTTTTGTTATTTAAAATATTTTTTCCAAAAAAGGAGCTGTGACTACTTGGTAGTATGCTTTGTTCAGGCTACAGCTTCAAAGCAGTGACATTGATTCAATGATAAAGTGTTAAAATCAGCAACACATCAGGCAGGGCAGCTGGTGCGGATGCTTTTGTGTGTCAGTGTGTGCCTTTTGTTTTGTTGCCCTAGAAAGGCCTAAGTAAGGAAGAGCAGGGTGCACACCTGCATAGCTTCCTACATCACGATGGGGACTGCTTTTCTGATGAAAATGGAGCACCTTCAAATGGAGTAAGATCTATCATGTTGAGAAAGAGTAGTGGGCTCCTATCAGTGTTAATGTCAAAAGGTCTTTGTGCATAAATTAAAATGTATGCAGTGAAAACTATCACACATATCTCAGAATCATGGCCTTTTATTTCTGAATTCACCTACCATGTTTGCTTATATTAAAAGAAAAATAGTTATGAACTTTGTACTGAAGTTGTAATTATGTCTGCAAGCTAGGACTCTTGCTACAAGTGTTTTCTGACAGTGATGATCTTGCTCTGTTGACATCAGTGCAGTTGACCTCAGCAGCCTGAATTTCACCCAGAGGCCTGAAAAATATGGGAACAAATAGGTAAGCAAAGATGAATAAATATTAAAATATTGCCAGAGGCTGGTTGCTGCCATACCGTCTGTGTGAGCTTATTGAATGCTGTCCAAGTCTGTCGACACAGCCCCAGCATCAGCTGGCATTGCAGTCTGCCTACCGTACATTGAACACCTGCCTGTAAACCAGCTCAGATTTTTTCCTAAATTTGGCCCGTGTCTAGATAGGAGTAATTACGTTTGCAACTATAGTTGATTTAGCGTTCAGAGAAAGCCAGTGTGAGCTGTGTATTTAAATATTTTTTTCTAAAAATATCTTCAGCTCCCAGGAGAAAATTAAAAAGAAGTATCCTTTTTTGCACTACCCATGTGATAATTCCAGATACTGTAAATACTAAAAAAAAAAAAGGTGCAAAGAAAGGATACAATAGTCTCAAAAACTTCCAGGTTAATTTATAACTTGACCATCAGTATGGTTGTGATTATTTCCTGTTCTCAACGTATGGTGTGTTCACCCCAGCCAGCAAGTAAGCTCCCACCCAGCAGATTGCTCACTCCCCCACAGTGGCATGGGGGAGAGAATCAAAAGAGCAAAAGTGAGAAAACTTGTGGGTCAAGATTAAAAGATTTTAAAAAGTGAGGGGAAGGGGTAGAGGGGAGGTGGCAAAGTGATACAAAGGCAGCCGCTCTTCGCCTCCCACAAGCAGACCAATGCCCAGTCAGCCTCTGAATAGTGGCTATGCTGGAAAGATGTAATCCCCAGTTTTATTGCTGAGCCTGGCATTACATGGCATGCAATATCCCTTTGGCCAGTTCAGGTTGCTGTCCTGGCTGTGTCACCCCCCAGCCTGCTCCCTGGGCGAGCAGGGCAAGGAACAGAGAAAGCCTTGACACCCTGGAAGCACTGTTCAGCAGCACTTAAAACATCGGGGTGCTATCAACACAATTTTAGTCACAAGCCCACAACATGCAGACTGTGATGAAGCCATTAACTCCATCCCAGCCAGATCCAGCATGCAATGTTTCATTTCAAATAAAGTTTCCTTTTTTGTCTTTTCCCAGTGCAGCTATTTGCTATCTTCTTTCTCACCCTTCTGCTCGAAGAGCATGCCTCTTCCCTCATTGCATCCTCTTGGTGATTTTCAGCATTGCTGCCTTCCCCAAAATAAGTCTGCAGCCTCACCAGCGTATGTGTGCAGGCAGGCAGGGAGGGGAAGTGGGGAGTCATGTAAGTGTATTTTGGACTATGTAGGCTAACCAAAAACACGCATCCATGTCACAACTCAGCATTCACTTGAAGAAAACCAAGTGCGGTACATCAGAAAATATCAGTGCAGTCTTAAATTAGATCTGCCAAGGTCAACAAAGATACCGCAAAGAAAATAGTTCAGCTTTGCAGCCAAGAGGAGCTGAACCTGTAGTCCTCTGTCTTTGTACTTATGTGCTGCTGCTTTGTATATAGCTTAAGGCCGTTTAACCAATGTGGTGACCTTTGACAAAATCTTAATTTTCTACTCAGTCATTTCATTGTGTTTCATTCCAGCTTTGAGCAACGCCAGCTTAAACTGAAAGTGAATAAAAGGAGTAAGAAGAATTTCCTTTCTTCTGGTGAAAATATTAATACTATAAAAGGAAGAAGGAAGGTTTTGGTTTTTTTTTGTCCTCATAAGGCAAGTGATTATTTGGAAAGGGAAGACACACAACCTGGGGTGGGAAGATGACAAATACTGGCAACCCATCTTTCAGACCAGGGTAAATGTTGCCTTAGCTAAGCTAGTCCCTGTAAAATTTCCTGACGTTATTCCTGATATGATTATGAAGGTGATAGGGGTGTTTTTCTCCTTATTTTGTAAGATCTGATTTTTAGTGTTCCTAAAACAGGAAATGTGTACATGTACTACTGCTAGTACATTTGTACATACACAAGCGTGTGTTTGTGCATTAAGTTTTAAAATCTCTCTTTCTTCACTTTCCAGTGCCTTCTAGGATTTTTGGTTTAACAAAAAAAATTAGAACTTACCCTTTCTTCATAAAAGAAATTGGAACATTGGCTAATTTTAGCCTATTTGCCAGTTTACATCACGTCTCTGGTATTTCTGTTCTCTGTTTCTCTTGCTCCTCATGTGGCTGTGAGTGTAGCAAGTCTTGCATGTCAGGCAGTTCCTCATCTTAGAGGGGGAAAGGCTTTTCTTGTCAAGCCTTTATGCAGGAAACACTTTTTTTTTTTTTTTTTTTTTTTTTTAGCCAGACCCTCAGTAACTCATAGGGATTTGAGTTTTGCTTTGCAGACAGTAATTCTGCTGATGAGGATCCCTGTATGTTTTATGTAAAGCATTTGTCCCTCTTATGGGGTTGGAGAAAAGGTTGAAATTCACCATTAGTTTTGCTTTTATTTCAAACACTTCACTTGCAAGTACTTTCAGAGCTTAGGTAAACTAAGTGCAATTATAGCCTGTTGAATGTGTCCTGACTTCTAGTGTCAGACTTCTTTAAAAGCTGCTTGGTTTGTGCTGCTGCGGGCAGAGCATAAAAAATACCAGCACGTCTGCGGACAGCACGCTTCACGTTTTCCTACTGTGAGGAATTTTGCTGCTTTATCCAGCAAGGACATGTACCTAAGGCCTTCCTGATAGTTTTTCCTTACATTTTCAGGGCTGCCATCAGAAAAATCACATCAGATTATTCACAAGCACAGGCTTAGTGAAAATATTTTGGGCAATGGCATAACGTTTCTAATTTGGTACTAGCATTTCTAAAGCATTACTTTATTCAGACAGTACACTTTAAGATGCAAATACTACGGCAGGACTTGTGAAGGAAAACATGGGAACTGCAACTGGAGAGTTAGAACTAGCATATGTGTACAGCTGACAGAAAAGCAGCCCTGTGCATGGGTTGCGAGGCCTTGTGTGTTGAAGGAAGCCATCGTCGCTGGGCCCAAAGGCTGCCCTGTAGATTATCCACTCTCAGTGAAACGCGGGAGACAACCAGCCCCCCAGTAAAGTTTGGGACCCAGCAGAGCCCCCTTATCCCTGTGCCTCCCACAGGCCTGTTGCTGGGCCGCCTGCCAGTCAGGCATCGAGCTGCCGGGCTAGCCCCATGGGGAGGAAGGTGTGGGGGGAGTGAGCAGGGCACGGCGCTGTGGGCCTGGTTTGACGGGGCAGGAGTGGGCTGGGAAGACATAGCTGGTGCTCTCATGACGCCTTTTCAGAGGAAGGATGAGACTCAGCTCCAGACTTCACTGTTGACCCAGTATTGTTTGAGATTTTCCGTTGTTGGGATGGAAGACAACAGGAGTGGTGATCCAGAGATAAATCAAAGATGAGGTGTATCATTGTCCTGGAAGTGTAATGGACTGAAAAGATACATTTCTGACAGGAATTGTGCTTTTAATGGTGGATCTTGGAGCAGGGGCCACCACAGAAGACCTCCTTGTATGTCTCCTTTACAACTACTGTGGGGAGGTGTTGGCTCCGTATTTCTGTGGTTATTGCACAGAAGTTTTATGGGCCAAAACTTGCCTGGGAGATGCAAAGAACAAAGTATTGTACAGTAGGAACATTTTGGAAGTTACTTGTCTATCCACAGGGTTCCTCCCCTGTGAAGAACCGCAAGATTTCTGGTATCACGCAGCATTTTAAAGGAGAATGTCTGACCTGATCTCTGCTGTTCCGAAGACATCACAAGAGCAATGTGGATGACTTTTTAAAATTATTTATATTTTTTTTAATATAAACTGAAACGTCATGAACATGCAGTTAATGTTAATATGAAAAGTTTTCTCTAGTAAATATATTGTCAGAGAAGCTTCTGGAAATGACACTATAGACAAATTATTATCAATAATTTGATTATTATTGATCAAAATATTATAGGACTGAGCAGCTCCCTATCATCTTTGGGAAGATGATTTAGGCAGCTGCTGGAGAAAGAATTGGAATTAAACTACCATAAAAGCAGGAAGCTATTCTCTGTATTTCTGTCTGAGGGTATTGTGAATATTTGCATTGCTCTTTTTTGACACTATAGGTAACAGCAGAAGCAGCATGGATTAAACCTGCTTTCACAGAGCATGGCACAGGCTATAATAGAAGTCTCTCAAAAGAAAGAATCATTGCTTTGAAAAACCTCAAAAGATCATTAAAAAAAAGAAGCTTCATGCTTATGATAAGGTAACCCTTGATAAAAGGCTACACAATTTTGGCTTTCAAACCCCTCTTGAAATTAAATTAAATCCATTGAAATTCTCAGTAAAGACCTAGCAAGTAATAGCTTTTATTCTGTCAGTGTACCCTAATGGATCTTTCCATTCCAAGCCACCTGAGATCCTCCTCTTAGTAGCAGAGGTGATTGTAGATATGTGTCCTAGAACTCAGAATGCTGCAGTAGTTCACCTGTCCATTTCACTTCTCCCCGTTTCCTAGGTAGGGGTGAACACCTTATGCCAAAGTACTGAGAATCTCAGAAGTTATTCTTTTTCTGCCACTTTCTTGCCACTTGACCCCTCCTCGCCTTCAGAACGAAAACAACTCTGGCTTTATGAAGTAACCTGTGATCATACAGAGAGCAGGACCTGCATTTTGTAGGTGTCAGCGGCTCCCTCTCAGCGCTGGCTGTCCAAAGCTCTCTCTGTTCAGTACAACCTTCTGGCAGGCTTCTGCACTGACCTGTGTGCATAGCACTGCCATCCCTTTCAC